GTTGGTTTAAGCTTGATGAGTATGAAGATGTATGCATTTTTGCTGCACCTTTTTTTGTGCCATTGGAACATTTATAGTGCTATATGTATCCTTGATCTTTGATGTGCATATAAGAGTTGCACACTTTCTGTCATTTATTTTGGTGGTTTACTTGAGAGTGTTTATGCCCCTCGTACCCAAACTTTTAGAGGGATGTTAATTCTTTTGGTGGACGCACCATATACTTTTATGGCAGGGACCATTATGAGTTGTGATTCTTCTTGCATGTTGATGATGTTGTGTTTCTTCTTCTTCTTTTATATCCCATTTTTCACGTGTTCAAAGGTCAGAACGGGAAGGGAAGATATGGTGCGAATATGTGTTTGTTAATTAGATTAATGGTACTTGTCAAAATGTACTTCATTGTAGAATATTTTGCATTATGTGTGTGTGTGTGTGTGTAGTGCATACATGAGTTATACTTGATGTTAATATGCATATATGAGTTATACACTTTCTGTGGCAGAATCCAATTGTTTTGGTGGTTCACATGAGAGTGTTTTATGCCCCTCTGCCCCCTCACCCAAACTGTTAAAAGGGATGTAATTCTTTTGGTGTTTTTTTCTTCTTTATGTTTCATCCCATTTTTAACCTTTGCAAAGGTCAGGGATGCGATGATGTGGTGTGTTAATTAGATTAGTGGTTCATTGTATAATAGTGTGCTTAAATATAGGGATAATTTTAAATTAATTTAGATGAGTGCAATATATGTGTAATGCACTTGGTGCAATACCTTTAATTTTTTTTTTTTATTGTTTTTTTGACATAGATTCAGTTATGAGTGGCCATGTTTTCCTTCAGAATTCTGATGTCAGTAGAGTTATTTACCAGTCACCTATAGAGAGCCATGCATATGATCTCGAATAAGATGTATTTTTATTTTTATTTTTTGATGCTATGTATTTTCCCATAAAAGCATATTCTATGGTGGTGGTTTGTTTTTGGTTGGCAAGTTACTCCAACACCCATTCCGGACCTTCCACTTTGAAAGGTAGCGGAGCTACTATTAGACATTCATGATTTCACTTTGAAAGGCAGAGGAAATGTTGTCAAGTTACAATTAAATTACTAGACATTCATGATTTCACTTTGAAAGGCAGAGGAGATGCTGTCAAGTTACAATTAAATTACTCCAACACCCATTCCCGACAGTTAAATTATTCAAACACCCATTCCCGACTTGGAACTCTCAAGACTGAAAGGTAGCGGAGCTACTATTAGACATTCATGATCCACTTTGAAAGGCAGAGGAGATGCCTATCATGTTAAAGTTTAGTTATATGACTTTATATGTTTACAAGTGTAAGTCAATGTTCACCGGACAGGGTATGCTTCTGAGGAGCTCATACGATTCACTTTATTTGATGAAGGTTTCTTGTAGTCTTCTCTAGGGCTGCTAGCAACCTGCTGGTCTTCTCTTTGGAGATGCTCGAATCAACCGTTGGCAAGAGACTCAAATGCACACTGTTCCCAGGGCTTTACGATCAAGATACAAATCCTTCATCGTATCTGATTTCTGAGATGCTGATACAAATCCTTCATCGTATCTGATTTCTGAGATGCTGATACAAATCCTTCTAAAATAGTCTTCTATCTGCATCTTCCAAAAGCCGAAGATCGGACTGTAGTTTGAACCGTTAAACCTTCAATCTTCTCCTGCAGTTTGATTAAAAAACCCCAGCCTATACCCTCTGCTCTCTCCGGGTAACTGAATTGATCATCTTTATAGCAGACAATGGGGAATAACTTAAAATTTGAAAGGAAAAAAAAAACGTGGGCATTGATTGGCGATGATGTTAATGTTTTCGGTTGTTGAATATTGTTTCCAAGTGACGAAATGATTCTGAAAATTATTGAAAAAAAAAGAGAGGCAAATTGATTGGGCAAAACTATGTTTTGAATCTTCTTTCCAACTTTTTGTCACTACCAAAATGAAGAGTGGTTGGCATACACTCCAAATAAATCAAATACAATCAAATAATTAAATCCCCCAAATTATTATTGTCAAGACTATGTTAAATCAATTACAATCAAATAATTAAATCCCCCAAATAATTATTGTCAAGACTATGTAGTCGAGCAATGTATTATCTTACTTTCGTAACAAAAGGTTGAGAGTTTAATTCTTTGTAGGGACAGATCGGGTGGTGATTTACACCACGACAACACTTATTGAGATTGGATATATTTTAGCTGATGATATATACATGATTGGCTTTTTGGAACAAAACCTAAAACCAAACTAAGAACTATCAAAATTTAAACCTAAAAGCACAATACTCAGTGAAGTACACTTACGTATAGGACTTTCATGTGTGTGGAGAATCAAAAGTTTTCATGTTAAATTTCGCATTTGTCCTCTTTTAGGTGGAAGCTAGCTAAAGATCAGGTGGGCAAGGAGTAGAAAACCCTAGGGCTTGAGTGAAGTAGGTGTTGGGCATTAAGAGGGGGGCTAAAAGCAGAGAAAGGGATGGCCAGTTAAGTGACATGAAAATGAGAGAGCACACAAAGTAGAGTTGAGCCCTTCACATTGTCAATTCTATTTACTCTCTTTCAAGAAAGACAAATCCTAAGATGCCTTCTTTCCTTCTCCACACACTCTTCTAGAAACTTCCCTTCCCCTCTAATATGGTAAAAAACTTACTCCACCTTCAATTTCATATTATGTGTGTGTGTGTGTGAGAGAGAGAGAGAGAGAGAGATAGATCAGAGACAGATATTGGGGATTTAATAAGGAGAAAACAACACATGAAACAAACAAGTATTGGTCAACTTAGTCCCATTGAACTCTGGACCTCTGCCACCTCAAGACTTGGAGTTTGCAAGTGTTCTTTTAGCATTTCAAAGTGATCAATCACACTTTAAATACATGAGAAAGGAAAAATATTTGTATGTTCAAAAATAGTTGTAATTATTTAATTATGAGATTATAGTGATTAGAAATGAAATGCTTGAACCCTCAAAATGAATTCATCAGCAAAAAAACATTTTAAGGAAGTCCGTCCATAACTCATTGTTAGTGCTCACTACTATCCTATATAACACCTTATCTATCTATCAGAAAACACACATTCTTCCTCTTCCCTCTGTGTGTGTGTGTGGAAAGATGTCCACATTGAACCATATTTTTGATCTCCAAGAACAGATTTGCTATGTGCAATGTGGTTATTGCACCACTATTTTGTTGGTAATACATTTCATCTAGGAATTAATAATAATATTGTATAAAGTAATTATGGGAGCTTTTGGCTACCTAATATAATATATATGGCACTTCTTTTTGGTTAATTTTGTCCACTGCATCTCTATGTTTCTTAACTATTTCCATTCAAATGCAGGTGAGTGTACCATGTAGTAGCTTGTCCATGGTGGTCACAGTCAGATGTGGCCACTGCACCAGCCTCCTCTCGGTGAACATGACGAGAGCCTCTTTTGTCCCTCTCCATCTTCTTGCTCCTCTCAACCAAGATGAGGTAAGGTATTAGCTTTTCTGTTTCTCATGTAAAATGCATGCTTTAGAATAGTTTGTACAAGTTCCAAAATTTTTAAACTGTACTTTTAATCAACCAAAAAATTTATATATGCATACTTTACTCAAATCTTTCTATCTGATGCATACTTGTACTCTAATCTCTCTCTCTCTCTCCAGACAATCCCAGAAGGTTGTTCTGAAGAAGTGGATGCTCAAAAACTCTCAGACAAGCACAGCCCGTCGCTTATGATCTCCTCTGATGAAGATGAAGAAGAGGCTATTGTACTCCCAGTGAATCATGCTGCTAATAAACGTAAAATTTTCATAATTTCTTTAATGTTGAAACCTGGAGTTGATTTTCTTTAATGTTGTTCTAATTATTGTTTGATTCTTAACAGCCCCAGTGAAAAGACAACGAGCTCCATCTGCTTACAACAACTTCATTAAGTAAGAAAATTTTATCCCAGTGGTTAGTCATAATATATATATATATGTGTGTGTGTGTGTGTGTGTAGGCCTTAAATTTAAGTTGGATTCTTATACATATAAAATACTCGGAGCAGAGAAGAAATTAGGAGGCTCAAGATTAAATATCCCAACATGACTCACAAGGAAGCCTTCAGTACAGCTGCAAAGAATGTAAGTTGTTGAACAAAAGATCGATTGAGAATTTTTGGAACTTAAAATTTTTATATTAGAGTGGAAAATAAACTGATTTCTTGATATATATTGGATTATTTTCAGTGGGCGCTTTTCCCACCAATTCAGAACAAAGAGGAAGAGAGCTGTGGCCAGGAAGAGAGAAAGAAGCCAAGGAGCTCAGATGTTGAAGATCGAGGTAATGATTTTATAAATACTTTGAGACTCTGAAGTTGCTTCTCGTTTAATGAAACTGTTTGGCTCCTAAACAAATCCATCAAGTTATAATATTTGCATGTATATATGATGTTCTGTCATAGAACAACATTTCGGTTAATGGTTTAAAATAGTTCAATACGATCATGTACATTGAATAAATAGCGTTGGGGGTGAGTGTAATTTGATATGAATCAAATACTAATCTTGTTTCTTTCTTTGTATAGAAAAAAAAGAAAAAAAAATATTTGATCTTGTAAACTCATTCATTAGTTAGCTTATAAGCATGCTTGCGATCGAATGACAAAACTTGATAGCAGTGATATGTTAGCTCAATGTGGAATCCCCACCAAAATACGAAAGACGAAAATAAATGCATTATAATATTTTTTTTAGTTAATCAGCATCCCTAAGAAATTATTCTTCTGCTTGATGGAAGTGTATGTGCATTGGAAGAGATGGTGCTCTTCGGACATAGTCCGAAACTTTAACCGGAGGTGATTTGGTCACTTTTATTTATTTATTTATTTATTTTTTTATTTTTTTATTAATGATAGAGTATAGAAGATGAAAGAAAAAACATCAATCTAGGCTACATGGGCTAACATGAAAACATATTGGAAAAATTTGTGACTTGGCTGACAATGTGAGAAGTGACTGTTCACTTAACACCACTAAATCACCAAACCTCACTGGAAAAGGGTATTTTGGTAATCAAAGATACCACTTATTGGATTCAAAAAAAACCCTGTCACTTTCTGTGTGTCCAACCACTAGTTGTCCAATTTATGATATAACCATTTGGGGTTGTATGAAAATGGTGTTGGAACTCCTTTAACTCATGTATGTTTGTAGTAATTTTACTAATTTATGCCCACTGAAATGGATGCATGACTTTCTGTTTCAAAATCTTTCAGGTCCATGAACAAGGCATTTACTGCAACTGGTCTTGGGAATGTGGCTTTGTTACTGCAACTCGTAGAGGGCTATCTCACTGAGTAAACAAACTTTAATTAGCTTTCAAAGGGTATACTACAATATTAATTATTTTGATGTATTATGTCTAACTCTTTCTGTTTATTTCTATATTAGTAACTATATTAAGAAATTTGATCTTTATAATTAGGGTTGGTTTTCTCATCATGATTAGGCCAAATATATATATATATATATATATATATATATATATCATAAATCTTTTTTCATTTTTAAAAGATTATATATGAAAAGGAAAAAAACCAACATATCACAAGCCACACATAATAATTAGGGTTGGTTTTCTCATCATGATTAGGCACAGTTTTTTATTTTTTATTTTTTGATCATAAACCTTTTTCATTTTTAAAAGATTATAATTACAAAAAAAAAAAAAAAACATCAACTTTTGATCATGAAAGTTTCTTGGAAAATCCACGTCACAAGTCACACATAATAACTTCAATCTTGATTCAAAATTAAATGTTTCTTCTTTTAAAAAAAAATAAGTTTCTTGTAATTCTTTCAAGTTAGGAGAATATCCATAGATGGACATATATGGTTCACACTCTAAACAACATAAATCTTAAAACAACTTTGGTTTTCTGAGAGTATGGAGAAGTAAACAGGTAATGGAATCTTAATTAGTTAAGATTTTATTTGAAAATTTCAAATGCTCTAGTTCGTGATTGGCCCACTTAGGTCTAATTTGAAATCAAGATACATGGAACAACGTGCATGTAGGTGCGTACGTAAGAGATCGAGACAAACTGTGTGAGACAGAGATATTCATGTCTTTGGATTAATTTTATGCTATATATATAAACTGTAAAATGAAAAAGAAATAATTATACCTTCTAATATATTTATAAAATTTAATTCTCTAAATTATAAGTGACCTACCTACCTGACCCCTCTAGGGCAAATTATAACCTGGAATATTGCCTTAAACCCTAATAAATCACTAGTATTAAGTTCCAATGATCCCTCTCCTCAAATGGGATTTAAATGGAGATATAATTTCACTAATGATTCCCGGAACATGAGAGAGGGGTGTGGGTCCCACCACGATACATTAAAAAAAAAAAAAAAAAAAACTCCTACTCATTCACTTCCAGTGGTACTGCTTCCTTCTTCCAAACCTTGGTGCCTTTTGAATATATCTACCTGCAAAAAATAAAAATTAAACTCATATAACCAAACTAATATGAACTTAATTGGAACCAAGGTGTAAGGAAGTATATACAGAGAATATGTGAATATGTGTGACTTTTAATGCCACTAACACATAATAGGTCAAGAATGCCACTTGACCTACAAGTGAATATGTGTGACTTTGAAGAGTAATATTGACTGCAATACTTTCTAATTAAAAACTAAGAAAGAAAGAAGCTCAATGGTTTACATACTATGGGGGCTTACTTGTATAAGGCTTGGGACGAATTACCCAGTGGAAATATGCTTGAAAGAAGTCTCTATTCTCTTTCAGTAGCTCTCTCCACACTGCAAGCATGCACCAACTTCATTCAACCACACGGCGCGCACACACACACACACATATATATATATATATATATTAACGTGTAGAAAACCGTACACAGACCAGAATCCTCTTCACTGTCATTGATTTTCTAGCTGGCGCATTCAGTGAACAATATTGTATTGTACTAGGTCCATAATAATAAGTAAAGATTGACTTTTATTCACTAGACACGAGCTCTGAGCATTGTGTTTGAGAGGGAGAGAGAGAAAGGACCTGTGAGTGTGACGAGAGGCCGAATACCGGCATGCTCAGCTAGTGCTTTTATGCATTGGTCCCTGCTCATGTGGAAGAGCAAGCACCTCTCTATAAGATGCTGTACCTGTATATTACATGCCCAAGAGTTTTCATGAATTAATTAAAACGTACTATTCTAAAAACTGCAAACACATTGTATGTACACGAGGGAGAGAGAGAGAGATACCATTCTAATGTAGCTATGTGGGTGGCAATGCAAACAAGGCAAGGGTTGGTCATGGCTATGTTGATACATTTCTCTCAGTAATAGCTAGAAATGGACAAAACAAAGAATACAATAAAAGTACATATATAGAGAGAGAGTGAGATGAAAGAGAGACACAAATGCAAAAAGTGCAAGGGAGGACCGAGTGATATTTGGAGGACTTGCATAATTTATAATAAGAATAAGAAATTGGAAAGGGTCATAGGAATAGTGAGGGTGATTGTTATCCACAGATATCCAAGCGAAGGGCCAAAAAAGCTCAAGAAATCCAAACAAGAGATGCACCTCATCTTTTAAAAGATAAGAAAAGTGAAGTGATGGTTCTGAGGATGGATTGATCATCAAATTAAGATGAGATTTGGAAGATGACTGCATCTTCGTGGCCAACCCTAGAGCCACTTGAGCCATTATCATGCGCGCCCATTGGCTATCTTGGGTCCCATTTCCTTAAAAGTGCAATGAATGGGCTGAGTGGTTAGATGGGTGCCTATTGATCCTTCGGTCATGACAGGTGGTGGGATCTCTATACTCTCGGTGAACCAATTATAGCCCTTTATCTAGTGCACAAACATTTCTTCACATTAAGTGTTCGAGTAATGACAAAAAAGTATTGAAAACTGTGGACTACAGCCACACGTATACGCAAGGTGTGACGTCAGATGTTACACAACACTTGTACTGTACTAGAAAAGATGCGAGGTCATACGAGTAACCAATTATCTTACTATACTATGTCTGCAAATATATAGAATATGCAATATCACGACCACTATTAAAGTAGAATGCAATAACAATAAAAAAACAACAATAAAAATATGTTACTTCCACGATTTATTAATGTTGCATTATGTTGTACCAATAGTACATTTTTTAGGGGTGTTACTTAGAGTTATAGATTGGAGGAGGGACATTGTGGAAACAGCCAGACAAATTATGATTGTTTGAAAGGATCCCAGGATCATTAATCAGTTATTGGCTTTTAAGTGAGTAATTTTCTTACATCTATTCTTTAACCTATGTGATTGGATTACACGTACGATTGATAGATTCAATAAATAAGTCTTGTATATTGGTCCATCTTTATCCTGCACTTCAACCACTGGTGAAGGTTTGTGCTATATAATACTAATATATATCAATCTTAAAAGCTTTTTCTAAGAGAAAATTGATACAATATAAATGTCACAACATGGTGTTTGCAGTGTTGTGCTCGGTGGTTTCTCGGTGGGTGAATGGTGTATTGTCTACGCTTTTTATCTTGAAGTCCTGGGTTGCCTTTTTATATTTACTGTTATTGATCGTTGGGGTCCACTACTTTCTGTTTTCGCTTTCTTCCACTTGTTACTTACGTTTCTTTCTTTTTGAGCTCCTACTGTGTTAAGCTTTCTTCTGTTTCTTGCTGGGCTGGGAATCCTAAGTGGTGGGTTATGGCAATATTTTGGTTCCAAGGCATGACTCTGACCCAGACGGAGAACGAGCAAAGCGCGTTGTCGATGGAAGATTCAGACCAGAGAGAACCGCTGTGTCGATCTAGTTTATTCGGAAAGGTGTGGACCTCTACCACAACGACTTTGGTGGGGTCTAAGTTTAAAACAACGAATAGTGTTCATCTTGGGGATGCCTCTCATTTCGAGTTATCTTAGCCCTTTGCCACCCAGTTAGCTTTGCTTGTGGGTGCAGGTTATTGTCAAGGCTGTTATCTTGACATTTGTGGATGTTAGTTTTGGATGCATTGTGTTTGTTGGTGCTGCCTGTGTTTACTTCGACAATGGTACCTTGTTCTTGCCTCTATAAATGCCGTATGGCGATTTTTTTGCTAGGTTAAAAAATAAATAAATAAATAAATGGTGTAATGGAAATAATTCTCTCTTCCTTTAGCTTTGCAACGACAGAAACTTGAGTCTGCTAAGAAGGATGTTCAAAGAATGACGAACTATAAATATTTTTTATGATTTTGTTACATTAACTTCTTTTTTTCTTCTTCTTTTTTGGATAAATTGTTACATTATTCACAGAGGTTCTGCCATTTCTTTTCTTCCATTTCTTAGCCCGGTTCATATGTAATACTACTCTTCCTCTTAGCCCAGTCCACTTTGCAATCCTAGCTCAGCCCCTGGTCAACCTTTCTCACATATTCTTGAGCTTGAAGATGATGCCATGTTTGGAGAGGGATAAGATTTTTCAAAAAAAAAAAAAAAAATTATAGGGACCAAGTTTGGTACGTAGGATGTAACTGGTTAAGTCCATTCTTGTTAATATACATGTGTTTTGGAGCAGTCACCTCATTTTACCATGCAAAGATTTGAAACAGGTCAATGATGTCATTGGAAATTTTTTATGGACTAGTAAAGCTCAAATCTACTGGAGCTATGATCAAGTGGGTGGATGTATGCAAGACCAAGGACTATGGTGGTGTGGGTATTCCTAATTTATTGTACCTAAATAGGATTGAATCCCTGAGGCACATTTGGAACCTATTTAAAGTTGAGGTCAGTCTCTTTGGTTTGATTAGGCACATTTAAATCTCATAAAGAATAAGAGCTTTTGGAATCTGAAGGCTAGTCAGGTTAGTTTATGCAATTGGAGAATGCTTCTGAAATTAAGGCAATTAGCTAGACATTTTATCAAACATCATGTAGGTGATGTGAAAAATGTATCATTATGGCATGATTTTTGGTTACCTTTAGGTCCTCCTGATGAGAGAGTCGGGTCCTGACCTCATTGCCAATTCTATGTGGGGTGACACAGCCAATGTCTCCTCTCTTATCCAAGGATCCCAATGGAGAATCAATCATCCCTTCATCTATTGGTGTCTCTGAAGTTTTGCCTCCTATCAACAATGGGTCTGTTGATAAAGGGTTTTGGACCATTTCTTCTATTGGTTCTTACCATCTCAAGAGTACTCATCGATCTAATTGGCCTCATGATTCCAAGACATGCCTTCATTACTTGGATTGCAGTCCACCACAAACTCAAGACCAGAGTCAAAGCCAGGTTTTCTGGTAGAATCTTCATCAGATTATGCTCTTTATGTTCTAGAGAGGCCGAAACATGACCACTTGTAACAAAATCTGGAAATTCTTCCAGAACAAGTGTGGCATTTACTCTGGGCAGCAGAGTATAGTAGGCATTGCGGATTGGATTACTAACTTATGGAGTCCTAATTTGAAGTCTAGCAAAGGTATGGCATATACGATGTGCTTTGCAGGAATTATTTACTCTGTTTGGAGAGAAAGAAACAACCTAATCTTCAGGAAGCGTCTAACAGAAATGGAGATTTGTGAAGAGATTGAAGACTGTATCCGATGCAAGCTCTCCACCATCTCATTCTCTGATTGTGCTATCTCAAGGTCTATTGCTGATAATTGAAGCCTTCCGAGCTCTGTTATCAGAGTCATCTCATTCTTCCCCTTTCTTCTCCATGTTCTCTGTTATTATTGTTTGGTAGCGACGGTCATATTGGTTTGGATGGGGTTTGCTTTTTATTTGAATTTGGGTTGGGCCATGTTTTGCCTTCGGGCTTGTTGGGCTTTGCCCTTGTATTTTCTTTCATTTCTATCTACATATTGACTTGCCAAAAAAAAAAAACAAACAATGTGTGTGTGTGTGTGTATTCACACAAAAATATAGTAGAACAGGTTCTGCTTGTGGGAGGGAGGGAGGGAGGGAGAAGCGGCATATAGAAAATGGGTAGAGAAGAAGTTTTAATATATTTAATGTGAGAAGGGCAAAATGGGAAGGAAAATGGGCAAAATTATGTTTTAAAATTATGCCAATTTTCTTCAAAAAGTGGTACAGGTGTATTTGTAACTTTTTTGAAAAATAGAGAGTGACAACGTATACTATTTAAAAGTAGGGGTCAACATGCACAAAACCTATAATGTAGGGAGTTTTCTACACTTAGCTGTACAATAAAATTACAATTATAATGACTAAGTAAGAGAATAATAACATATATAATATTAAGATATTAACGTAACTCTTTCTTTTAGATTATGTACCACATTCTAATTATCTTGTTTAATAAATGATAGTTTATATGCATGTTAGTGGTGTGCACGTCTTATTTGTGTCATACTTTTTTAAGATTCAATTTTTCATCAAATTCGTGATTGTTTTGTGCCGTATCTTGATCCAATAATTTAACGGATCATGAAAGAATCCATATTTAATTTGTTCCAATTTATTAGATCGGAAGACATCCAAAATCTGTTCCACATCCATACCTAGTATTACCTTCTCCTCTACATAAAAGTTTTGGTAGTTTGATATGTCTAAATTTATCAAAGAAAAAGAAATTGACATTTATCCTTATCCTTTTCTTTTTTTTTTTTCTTCTTTTTTTTTTTGACACTCCCAAAATCCACCGAAAATACTAACCACCGTTTTTGCCTTAATTTCATAAAAATGGGTCAACCACACGAGTGATGTACAAAATCTGATTGCATATGTTTTATTCAATTCCCTACAGGCCCATAATAGCTATTACAGAGCAATGAAGATTGTAAATTCTAATCCTAGTCTATGTCTCAACAACACTTTGGCGGCATGGAATTGGAAAATTCAATTTTTTTAGTTGTTTTTTTTTCTAATTTTAATTCCAAAATTCTATGAGAAAAGAAAAAAAAATTCCAAAGATACAATGGTGAAAAAATAATAATAATAAAAATTCCAAAACTCCAATTTCATGCCGCCAAACATAACCTATACTATCTTTGCACAACATTCAAATAATTTTAAAACTTGGCTCAATTCGACTCATTTGCAATCATACTCTAACCTAGGGCGAAATTAGGAATTTGTTTCAAGGAGGCATATTAGCACATAATAATTTCAAGGGGTAAATTTTATATAATTAAGAAGGAAAAGAAATGAAGAATATATAGATTTTTTTTTTCGAAAAAAAATAAAAAAAATCGGGGGGGGGGGGGGGGGGGGGGGGGGGGAGGGAAGGGGGTGTTCGAACTAATAAACGAAAGGAAAGGGTGAGAAATTTAAAAGGTGCATACAGAAATAGTGAAAATAAAACCATTGTAACTATTTTTCGAGAAAGACTTTTTTACACCGATAATACTATATTATCGGGATTATCAATTATTTATAATTTGTCACATAAGAAAATATATATATATTTATTTAAATTATACAATTATCGT